TTACTCATTTCATATATGAGAAACAACTAGTATAAAGGTCCAAGACAGAAGAGACTTTGTTCCATTCTGAGAACAGGAGGAGGCAAGTCTGGCTGATTTGGGTGGGCCAGAAACAGTGGGAAAGGAAATCTGGAGAGACTCGTGAAGGCTTCACAAGCCAATTTATAGCATTTGGATTTTATTCTAAATGCTCTGTTAAGTTATTGAAGGGTTTTAAACACAAAGTAAAATTATCTGATTTGCTTTGACTTTTAAAAGACACTCTGGCTTCCATGAGGAGAATGGATTCTAGGAGGACAAGAAGCAGTCAAACCAGTTGGGCATGCCGTGTAGTAGTTTCAATGAGTGACGTAAGCTTGGTCGAGATGGCAGTAGTAGACACAGAGAGATCATATTTTGAATATTTTTGCAGGCAGACTGGACAGAACTTACTTTTAGACTGGATATGGGTCATGAGAAATACAAAATAAACATGCTAATCAGTCAAGGATGAATCTTAATTTTTGACACCTTGTATCCCTGAAATGAGGAGAAAAAGTGGCTAAATTTAAAGTCATATAAAGGCAAAATATTCTGGTTAGTGTTATTATGACAGCACAGAACAAGCAGGTCCCCATACTCTTCCAAAGGCCCACGTATCCTTTGTGTCATTTCCTTCTTCTCTTAAAGACCAACACCACAGGCAATATAAGACATGTGCTATTATCTCCTCAGCTAAACTTTAAATCTCATGGTTTTTTTGTGTGGCTTGCCACCCCTGAATCAAAAGCCTATGCTCTGGTACTTAGTACATGTATAGACATGTAAAAAACAATGGAATTGAATGATTAGAGCTTCACAGAGACAGACAACAAAAGAAAAATGATGGTACAGCATGTAATGAAAAACTCAGGTCAGGATTGATAATTCAAAACAAATAGAAATTAAAGGTCAAAAACAAAACAAAACAAAATGGTCATGATGTACTATCCTAAAAATCGTACACTGTAGTATCATCTTTCAATTTTACAACTGAGAAAGCTGGTAGCTAAGTAGAAAAGTGAGGATGAAAGAACATTTCTTAATCACTAGGCCTGGTGATTTTTCATTTAAAACATGTTGCAGATACAAACATCCCTTCTCATAAACAAGAACAGGGCACAGCCCACTTCACTTCCATTTCAATTTCTTTGAAGCAATAAGAAAGGAGGGAAGAGACAGGTGTGATCCTGTGAACTCCCACCACAGCTGTACCTCATGGTTTCCCTCACTTAAAAGCATGTACAGATGTTAGTGGCAAACCAACAAAAGCTTTAATTCTGAGCTGTCATTACAGTAACTGAGTGTGCTCCCTGAAAACTGCTGCTATGCTTGCCTGTTACAAGATGCATTTCTTTCTCATCTCTCATTACAATTAATAGTTTTGAAAACGTATTACTCCTTTAAAATATAAATTGATTTAAATATATTTTTTAATGTATATAAAAGGGAAAAATAATAAAAGAGAGAATCTAAATTACTGTGTCATATCACTGACTTGTTTGGCTTTAAACAAAAAGAAGGCATCTCCTCAAGTGTTAGGCTGACAAGGAAAATCTGTAAACGGAAATTTAGTTAATTCATGTTGCATATATTTGTGACTCTCGGACAAATCTCATTTGCTAAATATCTGCTTTTTAAAGAGTTTTGTTTATTTATTAGGATTCATGATGAAATCAAGAGAGTCCAATGACCCTAATTATTAAAAGAGCCTATAGTCTAGAATTAAGACTGCTTTTGTGAATCTGAATATTAGAGTTTAGATTAAGATGTTGACCATCTCTGTTAAGGCAAAATTAAAAATCATTTTCAAAGAGGAATCTCAGCATTTTTTCATATTTTCTCTATTTTAATAAGTTTTTTATAAAGCACCTAGTATTGCATCTAGTAAGAGTAACCTCTTAATAATAAACAATTGCTAATAACTTACTACCTAGGTCTTAGCAAATATTTCTTGAACATAAATGAACTGCTTAAAATGAAGGAAGCAGACAACTTTTGCCTCTGAAGAAAGCATTCTGGAAGAGTCCACCTATTTGTTGGTAAGGAATGTACACAAAACCAGGGCTTGGGGAGAAAACATACATTGGGCTAAGTAAAATATATCATTAAAATAAATTTCACTTTTTTATTTTTACTTCTATTAATGTGGCAATTAGAGAACTTGAAATTATATATGAGGCTTGCATTATATTTCCACCAGACAGTACTGGTTTAGGCAATTATTTGGTAATATAGCTTCATAAACCTGACAAAATAATAGACAAACCTCTAAATGCCTCTAGAAATTTTTGATAAAATATGAATAATCTCTGCAAAAAAGTAAGTAATACATGCATGCAAAATATTAAACATAGGAGTTGAAAAAGCAGATGCAGGATCTAAGACATATTCCAGAGACATGCTACCTTTTTTGGAGCAACGATCAGCCACCTTTTCCTACAAAGGGCCAAGGAATAAAAATTTTTGCTTTTGTGAGCCACATGGACTCCATCACAATTATTGAACTATTCAGCACAAAAGCCAGTCATAGACAAACGTAAACAAATAGGTAGGGCTGTGTCCCAATTAAATTTTATTTGTAAAAAACAGGACAGCTGAATTTGTCCCCAGGCTTTAGTTTGCTAACTTCTATTACAGAGCAAAACACCATAAATTCAAATTTCAAAATTTCAAAGTTGAGTTTTAAATGAACAGGGAAGGTTCAAATTAGCTAAAGAAGAGCAATATTTCCCCATCTGAGAAAAGCTGGAATTTACTAAATGAGACAGAAATGATGAGAAAAATGACAAAATTGATTTTGTTTTTTTTTCTTTGCCTCTGTAAACAGTTCTTATAAAGTCATGGAAAAAATACTTACATTTAACTCTATTATCCACAGTAATGTTACAAATAAGAGGTCAAAGGTGACAAACAAACAGAAAGTCCTCCTGACATCAGAGATGCCTTTCTTTTCCCTTCCTTCATAGGACTCAATCCTGGCCATGAGTTGTGTAGGGTTGATGGAATGGACTTCATGCAAGGAAGCATGAGAGTTCTGGCTCCCTGTGAGAGCATTCCCCATGTTTTCTGGAAGGTTCATCCTGGAGGAGGGTTAAAGGAGCCTCTTTCCAACTTCACCATCCCTAGAGAGAAGAGATCTTTGGGAATAAGAGATAGAATGTTAAATCAGAGCTCACCTAACACCACCATACAAAACATGTTGCAGATACAAACATCCCTTCTCATAAACAAGAACAGGGCACAGCCCACTTCACTTCCATTTCAATTTCTTTGAAGCAATAAGAAAGGAGGGAAGAGACAGGTGTGATCCTGTGAACTCCCACCACAGCTGTACCTTATGGTTTCCCTCACTTAAAAGCATGTACAGATGTTAGTGGCAAACCAACAAAAGCTTTAATTCTGAGCTGTCATTACAGTAACTGAGTGTGCTCCCTGAAAACTGCTGCTATGCTTGCCTGTTACAAGATGCATTTCTTTCTCATCTCTCATTACAATTAATAGTTTTGAAAACGTATTACTCCTTTAAAATATAAATTGATTTAAATATATTTTTTAATGTATATAAAAGGGAAAAATAATAAAAGAGAGAATCTAAATTACTGTGTCATATCACTGACTTGTTTGGCTTTAAACAAAAAGAAGGCATCTCCTCAAGTGTTAGGCTGACAAGGAAAATCTGTAAACGGAAATTTAGTTAATTCATGTTGCATATATTTGTGACTCTCGGACAAATCTCATTTGCTAAATATCTGCTTTTTAAAGAGTTTTGTTTATTTATTAGGATTCATGATGAAATCAAGAGAGTCCAATGACCCTAATTATTAAAAGAGCCTATAGTCTAGAATTAAGACTGCTTTTGTGAATCTGAATATTAGAGTTTAGATTAAGATGTTGACCATCTCTGTTAAGGCAAAATTAAAAATCATTTTCAAAGAGGAATCTCAGCATTTTTTCATATTTTCTCTATTTTAATAAGTTTTTTATAAAGCACCTAGTATTGCATCTAGTAAGAGTAACCTCTTAATAATAAACAATTGCTAATAACTTACTACCTAGGTCTTAGCAAATATTTCTTGAACATAAATGAACTGCTTAAAATGAAGGAAGCAGACAACTTTTGCCTCTGAAGAAAGCATTCTGGAAGAGTCCACCTATTTGTTGGTAAGGAATGTACACAAAACCAGGGCTTGGGGAGAAAACATACATTGGGCTAAGTAAAATATATCATTAAAATAAATTTCACTTTTTTATTTTTACTTCTATTAATGTGGCAATTAGAGAACTTGAAATTATATATGAGGCTTGCATTATATTTCCACCAGACAGTACTGGTTTAGGCAATTATTTGGTAATATAGCTTCATAAACCTGACAAAATAATAGACAAACCTCTAAATGCCTCTAGAAATTTTTGATAAAATATGAATAATCTCTGCAAAAAAGTAAGTAATACATGCATGCAAAATATTAAACATAGGAGTTGAAAAAGCAGATGCAGGATCTAAGACATATTCCAGAGACATGCTACCTTTTTTGGAGCAACGATCAGCCACCTTTTCCTACAAAGGGCCAAGGAATAAAAATTTTTGCTTTTGTGAGCCACATGGACTCCATCACAATTATTGAACTATTCAGCACAAAAGCCAGTCATAGACAAACGTAAACAAATAGGTAGGGCTGTGTCCCAATTAAATTTTATTTGTAAAAAACAGGACAGCTGAATTTGTCCCCAGGCTTTAGTTTGCTAACTTCTATTACAGAGCAAAACACCATAAATTCAAATTTCAAAATTTCAAAGTTGAGTTTTAAATGAACAGGGAAGGTTCAAATTAGCTAAAGAAGAGCAATATTTCCCCATCTGAGAAAAGCTGGAATTTACTAAATGAGACAGAAATGATGAGAAAAATGACAAAATTGATTTTGTTTTTTTTTCTTTGCCTCTGTAAACAGTTCTTATAAAGTCATGGAAAAAATACTTACATTTAACTCTATTATCCACAGTAATGTTACAAATAAGAGGTCAAAGGTGACAAACAAACAGAAAGTCCTCCTGACATCAGAGATGCCTTTCTTTTCCCTTCCTTCATAGGACTCAATCCTGGCCATGAGTTGTGTAGGGTTGATGGAATGGACTTCATGCAAGGAAGCATGAGAGTTCTGGCTCCCTGTGAGAGCATTCCCCATGTTTTCTGGAAGGTTCATCCTGGAGGAGGGTTAAAGGAGCCTCTTTCCAACTTCACCATCCCTAGAGAGAAGAGATCTTTGGGAATAAGAGATAGAATGTTAAATCAGAGCTCACCTAACACCACCATACCACCCCACCATTACGCAACTATTTCCCCAACTGAGCAAGGGTGTCTTAACTGAAGACATCTATCTGTCTTGATGACATAAAGAGAAAGTGAAATGAGAAGCAATTCTTAATATTATCAATCAATACTACATAATAGCTGTTATGGAGAAGAATGGCAATAAAAAAAGAACACGTAGTAACAGTAAAAAGAATGTTAACTACAGTAGCAAGGTGGAACAGATACTCTGGAGCCAAGCCCCTTGGTGAATGAGCCAAGTCAGTTCCCATACTGTGCCAGGGAGAAAACCTCTACAATTCCATGTCATTGCCCAGGGACCAGGAAAACATTTACTGAATAGTTTCTCAGAGAGTACAAAACCAATACATGTAAACTAGCTATTAAAGAAAACCTTCCTTACTGAAGAGAATTGCTGTCCACCAAAAAAAATTAATAAACTGATTTTAGCATTTCCCCATCACCACTAAATGAATAAGCATGTTTCTAGGTCTCTTCCTTTAAAACAAGTATACACCCCTCCAACCCCGATAAAAGTTCATCATTATGCAAACACCCCAACTGATAATTACAGAAGTTACAATCTTTTATGGAGCTCTAGGACCCCCTCACCTCCAAGACCAGGATGTGCTTTATAATAAGTTTAGTAACCTAACAAAGATTTGATCTCCTCATGGATGAGGCAAAGTCATTAAATAAAGCATGGTGGATAGTATTATCATTTGCCAAATATCCCAGTTTCCTATAGTACTTCCCCCTTACATACCCTGGCTCTGCTGAACTCATGTGCTTTTCTCTGACCAATGTGATGTGGGCACAAGTTTGTGTGTCACTCGTGTCCAGATCTTAAGAACAAGTACTTGGATCACCAAGCTTTCCTTTCTTTCTGCAATAATGACTGGCAATGTCTAGAAAAAGAAGAGCATTTATTTCCAAAGTGGGTAAAATAGAATTTGAAAACAGACTGCTGAGACTTCCCTAAAGTAATTTTGTCCCATTTGGTCCTAGTCACAGCCCAGAACTCTCATTTCTCTCCCTTCCCACAATCAGGAACAGAAGTTCTATCTACATTTTCATACAATGTGGTAATAAAATGATATGACATTTTTTAAAGCAATTTGGTTATATAAACTAAGATATTTAAAAATATTCATACTTCTTGATCTAGTAACTCTACTTCTGGAACTCTAAAGGCAAATAACTGTAGACTCAAGGAAAAATGATCTATGCCATTAAAGGTTTGGTTGATGACTACCTTCAAGCAAGAGGGAGGGAGAAGTTATTAGAAGGCACAGACTTGGTCAAGTTCTATTCTTGGCCTGAATAGTGCTAACATGGCTGTGCTCACTTAGTGATAAGTTACTGACGTATGCAGTAGCTTCAGAGGTGTGTTGACTGTGAAAAATTAAAAATGCTGTACACTTATGCACATGTACACATACATGAATTGTGTAGGTGCTATTTTTCAAGAAAAAGCTCTATTAAAAAAGACTTTATCATAATATATATATATTAGTCCCAATTAGAAATCCAAAATATCTAACAAGAGGGGAATAATTAGATAAATCATGGTAGAGACACAGTACAGTCATTAAAACACTTAGTTATAACTTAGAAAAATGCTTGTGTTACAATGGGAACTAGAATTAAACTATGAATACTAAATGGAATATAAAACACTCATACAGTATGTTCACAATATAAAATAAGTCAAAGCCAGAGTTTAAAAGAATGTACCTATAAAGCATATCAAATGTCAATACTGATTATCTCTGGCTGATGAGAATATATTTTTCCTCCCCTTTTAGCTTTTCCTTATTTCTGAATTTCTTATTTTACACATATTGTATTTACAACAAGAGGGTCTAAATTCAAATATAACTTTATTATGGCCCTGGACAGATGTCCCAGGATTTTATGACACTCTTCTCTCCCTTTTCAACCTATCTGGGCTGTAATAAATAACAGCATGTTGAGCAATTTGAAAAACTCAACAGGAGTTCACTTTGGTGCTTTGTAAAAGAAGATATAAAATGCCAAGAATTGAAAGTATTTCTACACGACTTCTCTCTCAATACCATCCCAGAGGAGGGAATACCAATGGCATATTCCCCAGTACAGTCCCTCTGAAAACACTAAATGTATCTGCCAGCCTTTTAACACTTAATTCTGGAACAATAAATAAAAATGTAACTATGATTTCTGCAATAAAATGTGCATTTCAAAGTTAAAAAAGATAGCTGAGATGTTCTCTAAAACTGAACCTGGATAAATATGGGCATATTTCTGCAAAATATACTCTACCTTAAGGAAGAGCAAAAGGTAATTTTAAAGCCAGTCTAATAATCTACTAGCCACTATATATTTAAGAATTAATTTAAATTCTTAAATCCACTAAACTGTACGATAACAAATTCACAATTCAAACTAAGGACTGTTTTTAGGAGGACAATTATTTCCAGGGTAATTAGAGCATTCTTAGTGTCCCTCATTCCTCTTCCCCTGAGCCTACTCTTCATGAATAAAAAAGAACAAAGCAAAACAACAACTCTAAAAATCTGCAGCTATTTCAACTAAAAACTGACATTATTTAATGGGATACACCTGCCTTGGGAAATGAGCATCATTACATTTTTTTCAGATGTGTGCACAGAACTGCTAATTAGCTAGAATATAGAGATAACTTGCATAGCTTCAATAATAAAGTTACCCAAAGCACAGATTGCTCCAAATAGGCTGATTTCCAATTCAGACAGTCTCTCTGTGGGAGAGGGACATCTTAAAAGGGAGAGAGAGCTTCCTTTAAATGTGTAGAGAAAGATGTTCTTAACACCCCTTTCTACTCTACAGTCATCCAACTTCTTCCTAACCACGTCCTTCAGAAAGGTTCAGTTCAAGTGTCAATTCCTTCAGGAAGACTTCCCTGAAATGCTCCCTACATTCCAATCCCCAGGCCACTCCTCCAAGTTCTCCAAGGGCTGTGGTTATGCCGCTTATGGCACTGCTTACAACCCTGGGCCTTAACTGTCCATTTACTTGCCTGCCTCTGCTGCTAGCTAGCAGGCAACCAGAAAGCCCTGAATTTGACTGACAGGTCCTAGGGTCTGGGGCGCTACCACAGCACAGGGCACACAGCAGAACAAAACAAATGTCTATTTACCATCTAACACACACCCTTAGCCACACACAAAGAACAGGCTTTCAGAATTCTCTGCTGAATTGAGGAGACCACAACTGTTTCTGAGGAAGAACTTGGATATTTTCCCAGATGGAATTTCAGAGGTATTACATATTCAGATCTTGGTACTGAGATCCTCTCTGGGGTTGGCTTAAGGAATGCTATGCCTCTCCAAAAAGGGTGCAAAGAATTGATTAGCTGAACACACAGAAATCTAAATGTATAATTCAAAATTTATTCCAACCAGGGGGAAAACACAGGTGGGGGGAGGTAAGAAGTGGGGTGGAGAATTATAAAGAAAAACATCCTTTTATCTTTTTTCTGGGATTTGCATGAGGAGATGAGAATCCCCTTTTGTTATTTTTGGTTTGTGAAAACAAGATTCATATCTTCACAGTTTTAACTAGATGGGTAACTATTCTTCTCTGTACTATAACATTGCCAACTATTTCTACACTTCTGCTACATTAACAAACTACACCAAAACTCAATGGCTTAACACAAGCTATATTTATTCTCAAGCTCACAGGTTTGCAGGCTGCCTGAAGTTAAGATGAGCTAGTCTGGGCTCTGCTGGGCAACTCTGCTTCAGGCTGTGGGTAGCAGAATTTGGCTAAAACTGTGTTTTGGGTCTAGGTTGGCTTCCTATGTCTGTCTCCCTCCTTGGACCTCCCTGGATTACCTGGAGCATGTTCTTTTCATGGCAAATGTCGAGAGCCCATGAGACAAGCTAGACCATGTAAACATATTTAAAATCTCTGACACATCATACCTGCTCATGTTCTATTGGCCAAAATATGTCTCAAGGCTAAGTTCAAAGTCAGTGGAGCTGGAATGTACACTCTACTCAAAGAGGAGGTGGTGGTATTAACTCTGGGGGGAAAATCCCAGGGTGAAATACCTTTGAAACCAAAATCAGTCAAAAGGAGAAAAAAAGTGGGAGAAACCTGTTTATTTCTTACAAGCAGTCCACTTTTGCTTCCATGTGTCTCTCGTGACCTGGCAGCACAAGAAGAGACCCCACCCAACCTCTCAGGTCCAGATATGCCCTCCTTGCCCTCGTAATTACCTATTGATATGGAGATAGACTACTTCTCTCCACCCCTTGGAAACACCTATTGATATGGAGATGCACTAAGGCCAGGCGAGAGATTCTAGAAATACTGCAATTTTATCCACTAGGGCCTGAATTTGATTGACAGGCCTTTACAGCGCTATCACACTGCTGTTGGGCTTATTCTCTTTCCTCAATTTCACACTACCAGAATTAGAGAAAATTCTACCTTGTTTGTAGTGGTAGCTTCTTAAATGATAATATCCTTCTGTAGGGAAAATGGAAGTTTAATGGCCAGAATCCTCACCTGATAGCCACTGCAAACGTGCAATGATGTAATACTTAGCCTACTGCACAGGCACATACTCGTATACCTATTGGCGATAAGCCATTATTGCCTGTGTTGCTATATAGATTTCTTTGCTCAGGGCTAGAGCTGAGCCAGAGGACAGGAGCAGAGACGGCCTGGAGAGAGGGAGCTAGCTCCTGGGTCAGAAGCTGAGGGGGATCAGAGATTGAGATGGGCTTGCTATTTTAGACTGCCAGATGCAGACGTGATTCTAGAGCTTGACCTTCCACTGTGAGAATAAAGCTTGTTATAAATCCATTTTTACCCCTCAAGATTCTGTTGTCATTTTTCAGTCTCACCAAATCCATAGTGACCTTGCCTGGGGCTCAAACATTGGTGAGACACCTTTCCATGTGGCAAAAGCAAAAAC